ACCTGTTCCATACCCAGCGTAGTAGGCAGGCGGACAAGCGTTGATGTCGCGCCCCTTTTGCGGCTTGAAAGTGCGCGACAAAGGCGCAAGAAGCTCGCTCGACCCGCAATCCACACCTTCGTCCGCAAGCCCCACCCTTCCGCTGTCGGTTGCCACGGCGCTGCTTGAAAAGCGCGGGCGCATTTGAGGCAGCGGTCCCATTGCGATTCAATGTCATTGGCACTGAAGCAATTGGAGCTAGCTTCGTGAAACTCTTCACTCAATTCAACACGCCCCTTTATTCCAAGGTGAAGTGCGACCAAAATGGGGAGATCATTAAATGAGGCGTAATCGGCGGTTTCCCTCGCATCCTTTTTCTTTTCCACACCACTCTCCACCACTCGCTTCATTAGAGAAGACTCTTCCACACCTACTTGATCCCGAAGTTGTCTTTGAAAAGCCCACTCGCCATCGCGGTCTTTGGAGGGGAACGAAGGCCGAAGAAGGGGATTGCCTCATGGAGAGATAGGTGGACCTCCTGATGTTGCGGAATGACACGCAATTGGTAGCGAAAGATTTGACCTCGGCGATCTAGCATGAAGTCCACGGGTGAGGAATGGGCCCCATTTCTCGAATGGGTCCCATTTCTCAGCTTCTGGGCGGTTTCTCATGGTTTTTCCTACTTTCTAGGAACCACTCACCATATTTAACTCAATTTGAAACCATTCGCTCTTCATTGGAAATTCTGCCTTCAATCGCCAACTCACTGCTCAGGTCTATCCATTTTTTACTAATTAACTTTTGCTTACCCTTTACCAAACCTCTCTCTGCCCTCTAGGTGTTTCTCAGGTAATTTCGAACATCACCGCAAGCAAAAAGATCAAAAAGCCAAAGTAGTAGACAGACATTCTCTGGTCCATCTATCATAAAGACGACATGCTTTTATATGTACGCAAAATGTAGAAGAGTTGCAAGAAGACACGTCAAGTCCTGAGAATGTGATTAAAGGACACGCTCCGCGATCAGGCGGGCTCGCCTGTTCCATCCAGGGGGTAGTAGGCAGGTGGACAAGTGTTGATGTCGGGCCCCTTTTGCGCTTGAAAGTGCGCGACAAAGGCGCAAGGAGCTCGTCCAACCCGCAACTCACACCTTCGTCCGCAAGCCCCACCCTCCGCTGTCGGTTGCCACGTGGCGCTGCTTGAAAAGCGCGGGCGCATTTGAGGCAGCGGTCCCATTGCGATCCAATGTTATTGGCACTGGAGCAACTAGAGTTAGGTTCGTGAAACTCGTCCAACGCGCCTCTTCTCTATCCCAAGGTGGAATGTGGCTGAAATAGGGGAGGTCTCTGTACGGGGCGTAATCGGTGGTTTCGTTTGCTTTCCTTCTCTTTTACAGACCACCTCCCACCTATAGCTTCATAACTGAACGCTTTTCCACACCTATTTTATCCCGAATCTTGCCTTTAACAAACGCAATATACTGAGAGCTCTGGTCAGTCCGAGATCAATTGTTAGAGGGTCACACATGGGGCCGCAAAAGGCGCGCCTACTAAGTGATCTATTGGAAGGGAAGAAAGAGATCTACTGATCAGGGCCCGACCGGAGCATATAAAAGGGGCACCCTTCAGAGACAGATTATTATTGGTATTCTTTGTTTCAGCCACCCATCCCCTCAACCCCCCTTCTCCGCTCGGGAGACTTCGCCCACAGCAGCCACAATATTCGCACCCGATATATTCTTTTTCTGTTCTCTGTTTTTTTTTCCGCTGATTGTTCATAAGTGTTCTAATAAAATTTCTATCGTCTGATTGTGATCCGTACACTCGGTCTCAGCCAACCTACCGGCATTGATCTTACATGGGGGCCGAACCGGTCCAGTAGAAGGGTTGAGATCGAGCACCGTATTGATTCCCGTGAACGCTGACTAGGATAGTGCACAGGAAGGGGCGCGTAAGGAAAGTGTCGTTTACGTTCGTGGATAGTATCGACTCGTGACGACTATTGATTCGAATTTTGTGCGTCATAGGCAAGGACGTTATAACAGTACTGAAGAGTCTCGTTGCAGAATGGACGAGTTAAGTGACATCCACATGGACGACCTTGCTGACAAGGAGAATGTGGAGCAGGTAAGCTTTCCAGAATCGAGTATTGTGTGTGAGCTGAAGAAGATAAGGGACAGTATTAGGAAAATCCCTGTAACTTTGCAGAAAGAAATGGAGGAGCACAAAGTCTCCGCCCGGTATAAGGCCAAGCACGAAGAAAGGCTAGGGCAAGAGATTGAGAGTGTTGAGGACATGGTGACTACTTTGATAGTGTGCTGTGGTGCTAGCTATGCACTGGATAAGGAGATAGGGTTAACATTGAGGGAGAGAGGCATAAAATCTAGGAAAGAGTGGCAGGATTATATCGACACAATGAAAAGGGATGGGAGCATCCTATCAGAATTGTGTGAGGAGCTAAATGTGGACACTTCGCAGATAGTGCCGAGCGTAAAAGGCCTGAAGAAGTCTGCAGCTGGTGTCAAAGCAATGATCGAGGACGAGGAAAATACTGGAGGTATTTCACAAGGAAGTACTTATTCAAAGGAAGATAAAAATGTTGCGAGGTTGCAGAGGCAGATAATGGTCGAAGCGCCGATTGGAGTGCCCTCCGAACGCAGCTGGAACAATTATGCGACAGCTTCGGCAAGGGAAGCGCACAACGCAGGTCAGGGTTTAAGCATAAGTATACTTAATTATGTACAATCCTTGTGCTGTATGGACCCTGGAGTTTTCAAAGGGAAACCTAGTGAAAATTTTGACGAGTTTATCAGAACATTTCGTCGGAAGTATAGTAAGGTTATTGCGGATGATGCAACCTTGATAGAGATACTAAGCGATGACCACTTAGGGGCCGCGCTAAAAACATTGTCAGGACTTTACCAGCAAGTACGGTTGAGAAAGGCTTTGAAGAAGTAGTGAAAGAACTGAGGTCATTGCTCTCGAATGACTGCGTAGCGGGTAGGATGCGAGCATTGGCAGAGCTACGCACATTACGTATGAGGCCTAGTCAGGATGTGGCAGACTTTTGCATGATGCTACAAACAGTGAGTAGGAGAGCGAACCGAGATAATTCTAGTGAAGGTAGATCTCTTGAAAATGCTCAGATTCTCTTGAAGAACTTATGCCATTGGCCTGAACATGTTCAATTGAATGGTGCGTTACATCGCGCAAGCCCGGGAAAAGCGTATGATGAAGTCAAACAGTTAGCCCTCAGTATTGAACAGTCGAAGGCAATGTTTGGGAAAGATGTCCAAACTGTATAAGCCCTTGGAGTGGAAATCAAGGCATGGCGCCTATACGCAAAGGACAAGGTCGGAACCGCACTTCAGCAAACAAGTTCAAGACGACCGGGAACGGAACGAGCAGAGTTCAGCAGGAAGAGTACCGAAGTCTCGAGCATACGTCAGGAACAGTGAAGCGAGGTCGACAGGGGGAGAAACGCCTCGGAAGTGCTTCAACTGCGCACGAACAGGACATTTCGCAAGAGAATGCCCACAGAAAGCCGCGAGGGTTCAGAGCATTAGGAACAGAGAGCCAACAAGGTCGAAAGTCATAGAAGCTTCGTGTCTGACATTATTAATAAGGTTCGCAGTTGCGGTGTGAGAACCCAGAGACAAATCATGTGTGACAGGGACGACACGGTAGGGACGTTATTGCGATGGGATATGGACCTGTTAGGGTTCACAGCACCAGCGCTAATTGATAGCGGATCAATGATAAGTATCATACCCATACATTTGTTGGAGAAGGCTCAGATATGATGTCGATGCGCTACCCACGCTCAACGTGAATGAGCTAGCAACAGTATATGATGCCTCAGGCAACGAAATGGAAATAGTGGGAGCTGTGACTGTGGAAGTGGCATTAAAAGGTGGGAAGAAGGACAAGGTCACTTTCCACATAACGCCGTTACCCCAGGAGGAGGTGCTACTAGGAATGAACGCACTGCATAAGTTGGGGGGTGAACTTAGTAATCAATGGCTTTAAGGAGGAAAGGAATACATGGAATGGGAACGAATAAGGAGGCTAAAGTAGCTAGAAGAGCCTATATTCCCCCACATGCTTCTGCGATGACAGAAGTTGAGTGCCATGAGGATGGATCCACTGAGCGAGTGATGTGGGCCAATAGAAAGGAGGTAGCAAGTGGGGTGTTCCAAATATGCAATAAAAGGGCTACCGTCCCAATACACAATGATGAGGAAAGAGCAATGTTGCTTAGAGAGGGAGAAGAGGTTGGGGAATGGAGTACAGAGAAGTGGCACGAAAGGTGGGAAGACTTGAACCCCTTCATGATGGATTCAGACCACGAGTACGCACCAAAGGAACAAAGGCGACAGCAACTAGTACAACAGTTGGAGGAAAACATGGGAGGGGAGAAGCTCGATGACGAGCTTATGAGAGTGCTCGAAAAAAAATGAAGACGTTTTCGCAGTATCCGAAGGTTGTCTCGCACAACATTGGCTGAAATGGACATAGATACGGGGGAGAACGCGCCAGTTAAGCTGAAAGCGAGACCCGTCCCATTGAGCATCCGTCCAATGCTCAAGAAACTTCTCGAAACCTACAAAGGCGGGATATCATTGAGAAAAGCACATCACCATGGGCGTTCCCAATAGTTTTGGTAGAGAAAAAAGATGGATCTCTGCGACTATGCGTTGATTACCGCGAACTGAATAAAAGAATTAAGCAAGATTCATACCCGCTACCCACGATAGAAGCGATCCTGCAGAGTCTGGCAGGAAAGAAATTTTTTCAACTCTTGATTTATGCAGTGGATACTGGCAGATTCCACTAGCGAAACAGCAAGGGAGAAGTCGGCTTTCACCACGCCTGAGGGGCTGTTTCAGTTCAAAGTGACACCTTTCGGTCTAAGTACAAGCCCTGGCGTATTCCAACGGCTCATGGATATGGTCCTCAAGGATTTGTTAGGGAAAGACGTTTTCTGCTATTTAGACGATATCATCATATGCACGGAAACGAAAATGAGACATCTGGAACTGTTAGGTGAGATCTGTCAGAAATTACGGGAAGCCGGTTTGCGATTTAAGGCAAAGAAATGTGTGTTGCCACGAACAAGGATAGCCTTCCTAGGTCACTTGATAGATGAGAACGGGGTGCATATTGACCCTGAGAAGGTCGCAGCTGTTAAGAGATACCCAAAGCCGGAGAACGTTAAGGACCTGAGGATACTTTTAGAAATGGCCTCATACTATCGGAAATTTTGCTTTGGGTTTTCGAAACATGCGGGATGCCTGTTTAGTCTGACATCGACTAAGGGGAAATGGACATGGAACCAAGAGCACGACCTAGCGTTTGAAAAAGTTAAGGACATGATTTGCAACGCGCCAGTATTAGCTCAGCCAGAAGTGGAAGCAGCGAGAAGCGGAGCAAGGCCATTCATCATATGCACAGATGCATCAACAACAGGGTTGGGTGCAGTACTCTCGCAAGAGGGGAGGGATGGCCACTTACACCCAATCTTTTTCGCATCAAAATCGCTTGGTAAAGCAGAAAGAAGGTACCACGTCACGAATTTGGAGGCATTGGCTGTGGTGTTTGCCCTAAGGAGGTTCCATATGTTCACATATGGGCTTCCGACCACCGTGATTACTGACCATCAACCTCTCACGGCTTTATTTCGGCGTACCAATGTCTCTGCACGTATATTAAGATGGTCACTGGAAGGTACAACAGAGGTATAACCTCCACATTAAGTACGTAAAAGGGAACGCGAACGTTATAGCAGATGCGCTGAGCAGAGGCGCAAAGCAGAGGCGCAATGAGTAAGTTGGAGGAAGGACCAGAGGCTGAAAGTAGCGCAGTAGTTAACTCGGTAAAATTGAATGAGAAAACAAAATGGAGAGTAGAACTCGAGAGAGACCCGATTTTTGCCGATGTCATAGAGTGCATCGAAAAGGGCGAAATTGATGGCACGGTATGATTGCCGGGGAATAGGATACCCATGCGAGTAAATGATTTTGTCTTAGTCGATGGCGAATTGATGCTATATCAACAGGACGGGTCACCAGTATTTGTGGTACCGCGGAATGCGAGATATGAAATATTCAAGGAGGCTCACGCTGGGCAATTTGGTGGGCATTTTAACGCTCGTAAGCTATCGCAGGTACTATCCAAGCAGGTATTTTGGCCAAATATGGCACAGGACATTAGCAGATGGACAAAAGAATGCCACAAATGCTTTGTGCATAATCCAAAGCAATCGCTGGTCCCGCCGTTGAGGCCGGTGATAACGAACAAGCCGTATGATATCATATGGGTTGACATCTTAGAATTAGGACTCACATCAAATGGTAACAGGTATGCTGTGACAGTAATAGACCTGTTCTCGAAATATGCGGCAGCTTACCCAGTGCCCGATAAGACCGCGCGCACTGTGGCCCAGACAATATTTGTCAGATGGATAGCGGAAGGGTGCCGCTGGCCAAAGACCATTCTATCAGATAGAGGGGGCGAGTTTGAAAACAAGGTCATGGAAGAAATTCTAGAAATATCCCAAATCAAACACGCAATGACCAAAGGATATAATCCACGAGAAAATGGGGCAACAGAGAGATTGAATGGTACAATTCTAGCAATGCTGCGGAAGAGCACAGTGGTCCCCACAGAATGGGATGTACGTCTCCCTTTTTGTATCATGGCCTATAACATGACGCCTCATTCGGCTACGGGTGAGAGCCCCTATTTCATACTTCATGGCAGAGATCCAAATTTTCCATCGGATATTATTCCCAACGCCGGGCAGTCATGGTATCTGCAGGACATGCCGACAGATGACTATAAAACCGAACTGCTACAAGGAGTGGCAGAAGTCCATGACAGAGTGAAAACCCATAACGATCGCGTTCATGAAAGAATGAAAAGGGAATATGACAAGTGAAACGGGGTAAATGAGAATCGCCACCCTAAAGTGGGGGATAGAGTTTACGTATTGACACCTAGTGAAAGGGGAAAGAGCTCACATCCCAAACTAATTTCCGAATGGGCTGGTCCATTCAGAGTACTTGAGACAAGCGCGAATTCAGCCCTAGTGACTCGAATAGGAGAAAACACAGACCCTCTTAGAATTCAATTTGATATGCTGAGGCTGGTGCCCGACTATATTTCCGACGAAAGAGTTGACACGCAAACTACTAGAGGAAAAAGGGGTAGAAAGAAGGCCCAGGACCAAACGAAAGTTTGCAAAGTAACAAGTGATTATTTCAGAGGAGCAGTGCTGATAGGGCGGAAGTGGTGTAGTGACAAGTGGCGCGCTTACCACGCGAGCGGTCCGGGGATCAAATCCTGGGTCGTGAGTCGCCCGGGCCAACCAAGCCTTCCATCCCTCCGGGGTCGGTTAATTGGTACCAGACTTGTCTGGGAGGATAAAAACACTGACTTGTACATCGGCTGGCCCCCGCAAGTCATTGTATAGGCCACATCGCATTCAAACGCCACTACGAATGTACAAATGGAAGTAGAATGCGTGCCGCATCCCAAAAGGGATTGATCAACGGCAAATGCTTTATCCTTTATCCTTTAGCAGTGCTGATGAGTCCAATGGAAAAAGGACATCTTCTGTACAAGTGCGGAGACGGCTGCTCAGAGGGAGCGACGCTAGGAGAAATTGAAGGAATTTCATTCCCAGAAGCGGTGGCAAAAGAAGAGTTTGGGAATCTATGGACCGCGTGGCTGGCCTGTAGCATCTTCAGGCGCACCGACATCGACTTGGGAAAAAAATTAAGTTCCACCGAGAAGGGCACATTTGTTTTGACGCGGACTCACTGAAGATTGTGCTCAAATTCGTCTACGGAAAATGTATTGAATGGACTGACATCATATGTAATGCAAAAAGTATCGCGGAACACACGTCCATTGAAAATCACCAGGTTCATCGTTCTTATTCTGAGGCACTACAGAAGCTCCGGGAGGAGATTGACGAACAAGTAGTACGAGAGCGTCCTAGGAAAACTGGTCCCGTTTTGTTCGCAGCGTTTGAAGGTGCGAATCCAATGGAAAAAGACGGGGTTCGTAGCGGTATCCTCACAAAGGTTATTCATGGATGGGATCGCCTAGTGGAAGTATTGGAAAGCTGGAAGACGTCTAGTGTGGGTCATCGTTTGGCCGCAGGAATTCGAGATGAAGGACGAGACTGTTATCAAATTATTCAAGTTGACGAAAGATTATTTGGAGGAAGGGGGCCGTATAGCCACAGCTTGGCAGCCAATTGCGTCAAAAAATCAGACGAAATAGCTCAATCTGTAGGAGTTGTGGAGACACCTCGACGAAACACTAAGGAAGATCGACACCAATGAACACGTTTTTTCACCGCTGGAAGCAAAATGCTAGACGGCAAATTGTATATCGAAGCAGGAGCGCCAGAAGGATGCGCACAATTTTATTCGAATTGTATAGGTACAGCTTTGCCCAAACAGGTTATGAAGCAGTCAGACAACGCGCAGTAGGAGCAAGACTGCCTCAATTAGAAAAGGCGACATCGAGGACGATGTCTCCCCGAGCGGGGGGCGTGTTAGAGAGTCACACATGGGGCCGCAAAAGGCGCGCCTATTAAGTGATCTATTGGAAGGGAAGAAAGAGATCTACTGATCAGGGCCCGACCGGAGCATATAAAAGGGGCACCCTTCAGAGACAGATTATTATTGGTATTCTTTGTTTCAGCCACCCATCCCCTCAACCCCCCTTCTCCGCTCGGGAGACTTCGCCCACAGCAGCCACAATATTCGCACCCGATATATTCTTTTTTTTTGTTCTCTGTTTTTTTTTCCGCTGATTGTTCATAAGTGTTCTAATAAAATTTCTATCGTCTGATTGTGATCCGGACACTCGGTCTCAGCCAACCTACCGGCAATGATCTTACACAATATTTTTCCGTATTCCTCAGCACCCATGCGATTACAGTACTGAAAAGTTAAGGAAACAAAACATTGCTTCCACACCTCTGTGAACTTTTTTTTATTTCGATCGACGACAAATAAACTTCAGCCTCAAGGCAAACATTCAGTATAATCACGATACAATCTGATTTTGAGATAAGGAAACCTTTGCCTAAGTAATTGTTTGAAACGAAAAAGAAGTAACATCAACAATATAATGTAAAAAAAAAGTATTTACATTCATTCGAGCTAGGTCACATCGTTTTGCATGCTACTACATGTTTTCTTTCTGTAACCAAGTTTCAATCCTCTATAAGCATTTCGAAATAATAAGACGATGGAATTTGTGGAAAAACCAGTAGTGATGTATGGATGGCTTTTTGTTCTTGCACCAGAGCGGTTACAGGTTTGTCGACCGCAAACGTGACTGGCGCTGTGGGATGAACCAATCTTCATACTATACATAAAGCGATTCTCTCAAAACTAAGCAGGGAAAGAAGTTATCAAAAAAAATTATCCTTGCTTAGTTTCCAAACAAGCAAAACAAATAAAATTTGCGCACTTCCAGGCGGCCAATTTAGGATGACAAAGAAAAGGTCAAGAAAGAACAGAAATAGGGAACCGAACAGAGTGATAAACCCTACTCGCAGCCTATTCCAGAGGCCGTATTCTATCGTTTCCCCAGGCTAGCGGAAGAAAAAATCCCATCGAATTTTCTTCCCTTTCCAAACAAAATCGCTTTAGAAAGAGCACATTTATATTACATATGTGTGTAAAAGCAGGCAGCACGGTGGGAATTAAAGGAGCTGGATCTTGGAAAATGAATGAATTCGAGGGAATCTTTTGTTCCCTAGCCCGGGAGAAGGATAGCATACGGCCCCAGGCACATATCGTTCCATGCGAAGTTACCCTACGGGCGCATTCACATTCCAGACCGCCTCAGCCGCACGATATGACAGGGGCCAGAGTCTGCGACCAATCGCTAGCTAATCGAGTGATTCGCTAGTGATTGGTCACGATGTTGAAACCTGCCTACAGTGGAATCTGTCGATTTTATATGAGCATAATTAAAATTCATGGAGCATAATTAATAACCAGTGGAGCGGCCTGCAATGTGAAAACAGCCCAAAATCACTCGAAAACCTTGGTGATAGTTGTGTACATATTAAACGTCAAGAATGCAGGTTTGGAAGACGTGCCATTACCACTTCATCATCGTTGCTGTCTTCCACGGCAGATATCTCGGTACCAGCCGAAACAAAGCTGTCAGAGCATGTCGCATTCCTTAATATGACATATCGTAATTCACGAAAACACTTTATCAGTACCTTCGACTGACTTTCGTAGGACGGACATTCCATAATAAATATAGAAATGCAGGACTCACGCCTTCTGTTCGTGAGTACGTGAGCAGTACAAATCCCATAACCATTCCGGAATGATCTGATTATGATACTTCAAGAACTGAAACCGTAAGCATGACATATAATCATATCGAAACTCGAATAAGACAATAAGAAGGATAGGTCTCATAAGAGGAACCTTTAGCAAAATTGATTTTCCAGATACCGAGTTACTGTGAGGTTTCAATAAAACAGACAGTAAATATGACCCACGTCAACAAAAGGCACAATATGCCTTTCATCGCTCTGAACATTAAACATAACTGTAACTCGTCCTCCTTGACCCATTCGGCCAGTACGCCCAATCCTGAAGTGGGGACAACTTTACCCAAAAAAAATGCTGATGATTTTACATATTAGCTAACCTGTGCTTATAATCATTGAAAGATTCTGCCATTTCGTATATGATAACCTGAAAACATTGAACTCTTTTGTGTTTTGTACTTTTCTTCACAACATAGTATGACTTGCTAATTAGATCGCCCAATACACGCAAATCCGGATAAACTAATGACAAGCCAGCCTTACTCGGTCAGAAGAGCTCGAAAGTCTTCGGAAAACACTTTCACGGCCACAATGCTTTTTCCAATAGATCAAATCGCTTTACATTTTAGTATTAATAGCACAACGACATAGATGGCATTTCAGTCAACTTTACCTTTTTTTTGAACACATACCGTTGCATGCCGAAAACAACATCTTATGCACCACGACAAATGCCTATTTGGTGAAAAAAAAAGCTTTCAATGAGAGCTGCACACTGAGATAGTACGTGTCACTCAATTTTCAGGTAACTACCTGCGGGGCAATGACGCCCCATTCATTCACTGGTTGAGCAAATTTTACCAACTTAATTTGCTCAGTTTGTTAGGGCAACTTTTCTGTAGCTCGTCCGTAAATTCTATTGGATTCATCTCGGTGACTAACTTCGTCATTCGAGAGGTATTACTAATTGGTGTCGAGAAGCTGTCTTCACAACCCTACAGTGTGAATACCTGTAGGGTTGTGAAGACAGCTGAGACCTGGGACATGCTTGATTTAGGTTCCATGCATCATAAAGCGCTTCTTTATCTAAGAATGTTCGTATTTACCTGATACGCAGAATGTCCACTTGACCAAATTGCAACTGAGAGGGTATTATAAGGAAGATTCTGCGCCAAACGCGTATTCACAAATTCATCACCTATGTTAAAACCTACCTTTTTGAAGGTCTAGGGCGTACCAGTGCAGTACTGAGCTAAAAGGAGAGTAAAAAAGACAAGCAGCTCCGCGTTCACTACTATTTCAACGCCACGATTCGTTGAGGAAGTCCTTGAAAAAGATGGGTTATGGGTAAAATCGTTCATCCCAGGCAAAAATCAAAGCGGCACTTGCCGCTTCTCGAGCAGCTGTGCTACCGCTCAAAACACCGGAGCACCGCTTCACTTTCACCTTGCCAAACTTTCGTGATATATTTACCACAGTTTACAGCTCTCACACTTATAGCGTGATCAGCTGGTAAGCCGACATCGGCATTGAAAACCGAGACCAAGAGCGCAATGCAAACAGTGAAACATGCACATTTTGACGTGCCGAAAATCAGCCGAAATTATATCGCAAAATCTTTAGTAACTAGGCAGCACTGTTTGTGATCAAATATTGTGGAACATTGTATTCAACGGCAAAACATAGCAAAATCCCGTGTAATTTGAAACACTGGAGAAACTAACGGTTGAAAAAGGCTTTTGCTGTATACTTTCAAGTGCTACCCTACTTCAGGAAATTCGCGGTGAACGGGTAATATTTATCATGTCACGAGGAAATCTCATGAGCGCAGGAGCCAGCACTGAACAAGGCAGTGGAACCCTTCGCCGAGACAGAAGAAAACTGGGACAGAGGGCTTCAATAATCGTCATCTTCGAAAACTTGCTTGGCCGTGAGGTGCGATATCCTGACGATGTCGCAAAAACAACTACGTGCACAAGCAAAATCAAAAATTGTAAATGAAGATATAGCTCATTTAGTGTCTGTGATTTGGAAGGGAAGCAGAGTATATGGCACATCTCAACACAAGACTGATCTGCGCCGAGTGGTTCACCTGTACACCCGAAGCGAAGCTGAGCTCCAGAAGAATCTCAAATTTACTGGAAGCATTCTTGTGGAACGAAAGATTACATTTTTCAAACTTAGAACAGAAAAAAGTTTTAGTGCATATTCGAGGATATACTCTACCGTTACGAAAGCCTGGAAGGCAACTTCAGCACTGTTTAGAGATTCTAGGACTTGTGGATTTCCAATGCCCTACATTTTGGAAAAAGATAAGATCGGTGAAAGCGAGAACCAGATGAAAAAGCCTGCGTTAATCGAAGAACTTCTCAAAACGCCGCTTTTGTGAAGAGGCTATTTCTACCGACAACCCAGTCGCGACCAACTTTGCAAACTATCAGAAAGCGCAATTCATCTACTTTTTGCAACTTACTTTTAGGTGATTTTAATTCTACGGGGTTGGGGGAGGCTGAAGGAATACGGCTTCCAGGAAAATAAATACTCGCATATCTGTGTTACTTTTGCAGCCGAAACATTGTTAGATTCGCTAGTAATCTATAGAATGCGGAAGCTCGGGCCTCTGCTTACGGCTTTGCAAATGTCTCTGCAGAATCATCTTATGCCAAGATGACAAGCGACATGATCACTCTGCGTGAAATAGGCATACAGCTTCATCCAGAGAAGCAAAGAATGATATACCATCCCAGGGCTCCTAAAAGCAACACCCCAGATAAAGTGGGATAAAAGTGGGCGATAATAAAATTGTGGATGCACAGGTGACAGAAAATGAAACAAAAAGAAGCAAAGCAACAAAAGCTTGCCTTTCGTTGCTCTGGACTAAGTTATGAGTCTTTACCTAATGCATGTGAAAGACGTCGTTACTATGCCTTGACATCCTTAGCTAAAAGGAGATTAGTCAATGATCTTATGATGGCTTACAAAATTCTGACTAAAAAAGTTGCTGTAAACCCCACAGATTTTTTCACTTTAGTGCGATCTAGGACTAGGGGTAGTACCATAAAAATAAGACGTCCTGTAGTGAGATCACAGGTCAGAGCGAAATTCTTTGCGATCAGAGTACTACCTTTCATAAATAAAATATTCAATCAGGATACGCTACATTTATCCCTCGGTTCATTTCGTAGAATAGCCATTAGATTAGCTAATGCGGAGGTTTCTTGAAAATAATACCAACTTGACTAATAGACTAGTTTGTATTTGTTTCTTACTGGCTTGTCAGAATGCACCCTTTCTATTACAGTATTGTATCTATCTTATTCCTCTCTTCTTTTTGATCGCGATTGTGATCCTTTTTTATTGTGAATCTCACACAGATATAATCCACTTTGATTGTAAATCCCACGCAGATATTCTGCGTCCATGAATAAATAAATAAATAATAAAGCAAACCGCCGACGAATCCCTTCACAAGGACTTCCACTTCCCCCTTGAAACAGAGGATGTAACCGGACGAGTTGTCTGAAGTTGATTGCTATCAGCGTGCATTTGTATCAGCCGTAACGTCATAATCCACGGCGCATGTAACGAGGTTGGCACATGGTATCTTCCATCAGCCTAAGTTAGTGTTACCCCAAATTCCGTCCTTCTCGCGTTCATAGAATGGAGTGTTGCCCAGTGACCCACCTTCGTAAACAAGAAGTGTGTGTGTGTGAGGGTGGGGCGGGGGAGGGGGAGAGAAGAGGTGGGAGGCGGGTAAATTTAGAAACTCTCCGCAAGCTCAAGCTTACCCAAGCTCCAATGTAATGATACCGGATGCAGCAACCGTTCACGTCAGGGCAACCCATAGAGCGCATAGTCGCACGGCATAAAACTATAGACGCCATGCTGAAAGTCTTCTGCAACCTGCGAGCAACCTATCACATTTGAATTTGACAAGCCGATTGACTGACAAGCTCCATAGGATCAAAGCCTGTCTTTACCACAAAGCTGCCCTGTTGGGTACATGTAGATTCGACACATGACCATCTACCATGGCCCTCAAGCATCAGTGCACTCACATGGTCTACATCAGGAATATCTTGTCCACGGGAAAGTTTATTCGTGGCCACTAAACCTTGGATTTCACCATCCAGCAATCTTCGGATCGTCTCTTTGTTGTCGGCAACGATGTAATCCCTAAACTGCTTTCATTAAACAAGCACGTAAATACGCAAAGTAGACCGAAGAAGGATTTCACGATAAAGTCGAAGGTTGAAAAAGGGAAAACTTACCTAGTGGGAAGACAGGTAGCCCCCGAGAGTGTGGACTGATACACAATTCGCAGGAAAAAATATGCCAAGCAATGTACTAGGTTGCTGCATTATAAATGTCGCACAGTTTTAGCTTCACCACACTCGGCTGGTTTGAGCCGCCAGACACTTGAGCATTTGTTCGAAAGAGGAGATCCTGGAGCATAAAGTGACTACTCCCTACCCATATCAATTAGTTTTTTATATGAATTTTCTTTTGAACGATGATTACGTGTAATTTCCGTGTGTACACGCGAATGTTCTCCGACATCATGAGCAGCTGAATCCAGCTCACACGGTCACGACACGCTATCACAAACAAAAAGCGAACTACATCAAACCGTGGCTCGACCAGAAAGAAAAACAATTTTATGAAGCTACCTCACGACGAACAAGCGCATTTCACGAGAAAAAAAAACACTACCAAAAAAGTGCGAGGCGCAACTGACGATCTTTGACTTCTCAGCCAAGCAGCTCACACTCTATCTACAGTAGCAGTCAAAAGTGTTCGCCGTAACGGTTAATGGTGCTTCTCTATTTCATTGTCAGAAAAAACCCAGTGGTGACCTCGAAATTTTGAATATCCTGATTCTAGGAACACTAGGAAACTTAGCATATCAATCTTCGGAGGCGCTGCTCAAGGGAGAAAAAATAACGCAACATCGCTTCGACGAACACTTTTGACCGCTACTGCAAGTGCTGCTTATCCGAGTCAAAGCAGCACATCGTGAAGGAGAAACTGTTCTGAGAGCGCGCAAAATTCGGGCTCTGGGTGTCCAGGTTTGCGTACGCGCAGTTACTGAGAATCTTTGAGAAGGCGTAATCGCTGCATAAGAAATGGTGAAGCCTGACACAATAAGGTAGTTTACCGTCTGTTGTTCAGAGGTCCCAATTGTTGCTGTTCCAACAAATTTTGTGTACGTTATAAGCGACATTTATAATGCGACAACCTAATATATGGCCATCTCCGCACCACTACTGGCGCGGTACGCCCACCGACTGGCTAATCACCCACAGGTCTCTAGCCGTTTAGCAGAGAGAGCGTTAGCGTTGAAGAGGGCAGCACCGATGAGAGTCGCATCAATGCGGAAATCAACGGGCAAGGAAGGGGTCCCATTTTTTCTTTCGGCCGTTTCTCATGGTTTTTCTTCATCCCTGACACACTGACCACCTCTACCTTGATTCTAGCGGGTTGCCCTCTAACCGTAAACTTCGTCTCCAGTAAAAAAAAATAACGAACGAATTCATCGGCTCGAAATAATATCCTAATTGTTGCAGGAATAACGCGAGATAATTAGAAGTAATCTTCTTCTCTACAAAAATCACTGTTGACTTCCTGAATGGACCTGCAACAAAAGCGTTACAAAAAGTCGTAGCAGCCAGAATAAAGATGGAGCAATCTCCACCACATCGTATATGATCAATCAAAAAGGAAAGGGCAGCCTAACAAAGATCAAACATGAACGCAGACTGAACAAACCTTCTTTCTTCATTCCATGAAGTTTCAAGTCCGCCTCTATTAATCCAACTAACCAACCCAAATCCTTATCGAAAGTCGGTTTGACACAAAAAGATGTTCGCTCGCCTTTCTGTAAACTACTTGAAGCAAGGCTAGGTCCGATATAAAACACCCCTTCCAGTATGATCTTAAACTCACCTCAATTACCCTTTGAGTGACATAACCCTTTGGAGCAGGCAGATCGATAAAGACTGGTATGTCAGCGCTGCAATACTTAACTTGTGTACCATATACTGCAAAAGTTTTCGGAGTTTGGGCTTGCGTTTTCTCGAAACTGGCCTCCGGGGCAAAGTGGCCGGAATTTTGCTCTCATGAGGAAAGGCCCCAGCCAGCGTACATCACAACATTCCTCTGGGCATAGCATGCTTTTCATATCTGCTCAACGGCACTTAAAGCGGAGTTCTGGAGGTTTTTAACCGTCCTGTTTGCATGCTATCCATATCGAGAGTGCTTTTTTTTTGTTAGAAACTACTCATACAGCCATCTACGTGAGCACTGCTGAAATGTAATAAAGTTTGAAGCTTTTCTAGCCATTTTCACAAGAAGAGCAAAAGATCAAGCAGGTATCCGAGCTAGCGATCTCCTACTTGTGAGCAGAGACCACTACTTCTGCTTTAACTTCGATCAGAGAGCATGGGAACAGGATACGAATGAGTTCAGAAGGTGAGAACGGGATACAACGCTAAATCGACGAGTACATGAATGTAGAACAAGCCGGCTTCCGTTCATGCTTCTCCACTATTGACCATATTCACGTAATATCACAGCTGACGGAACGTTGCCGCGAGTACCGCACCCCACTGTGTCTTCTGTTTATCGATTTCAAAAAGGCCTTCGACACAGTGGAGCATGAGAGTGTGTACAATGCCATGTGAGTGCGGTATCCCCGAAACCCACATTAGAATCACACGGCAGTGCAACACGGGTTCAAATTCGACTCGGCGTCAAGAGAAAGCGAGGTTACTCCTCAACTCGTTCGCTACTCGCTCATCGCGCAATCTCTGAGCCTCATCAGCCAAAAATCCGGCTATGTCGAGCTCGGAATCCATAGGCTCAAGCCAATGGATGCATAACAAAGAAGTTCAGTACCAGTTGATCCCCCTAAAAGGCCCTCAAATCTAGCGAGTCTTCTATGTGTGTTTCGGAAAAGTGGTCGACATGAATAATGACTTTAAGCTCGAAGTTGGCTGAAGCCGCAGAGCATGAATAATGACCTTAAAGGAATCCTTCGCGGAAAATTCTTGCACTCTTTCCTAACATGAATATGTCAGTTGTGATCACTGGAAATAGCACACAAAGTTTCACGCATGAAGATTCGGTTTCCGAAGAGAAACAAACGTACAAAAACTACACGTCGGGCGGAGCCAAACGAGACATGGAAAGGAATTGAAGAAGGCCTTAGCCGGCTACGTATCAGGCGACGCAATGAAGAATCGGGTTAAAGCGCGCGATTTCGGAGAATAGAGACAAATCGATCGATAGAATAGGATGGAGTAGAAGTGTAAGATGTGAATGCAATAAAGCAGCCAGAAAGAGTTTCTAGTGAAGGCACTCCAAGAACCAAGTGGAAGCATCCCCGTCGCCAGCATTTGTGAAAGACGTCCGTGGGCTTGAACGCGTAGCAGCCCTTTCGATTTTTCGAATTTTTTATCAAAACGAAAGCAATATTTCTGTTCTTTTCATTCTTATCGTGGATAATGAGTCTCAAGCCAGTGATTTATGGCTGAAATAGAATCATGATTTTTCCGCGAAGGATTCCTTTAAGCTCGAAATTGGCTCAAGCCGCAGAACGATCTGGACCGATTTCGATAAGCTCCGAGATGTACTAACTTCTAAGACACGTAGACCCTTAAAATCAAAGCTCACGTCTTCAACTCGCATGTTCTTCCCGCGATGACGTACGGGGCGGAGACGTGGAGCACCACAGTCTCTGAAGAGGAGAAACTCGCAGTCACTCAGCGAGCCATGGAGAGGGCCATGTGCGGGGTAACGCTCCGAGACCGCATACCCAATGACCACCATCCGCGCTCTGCGATGGTTAAGGACGACGAAGAAACTATCTACAAAATCCAAGCGTAGATGGGCCGGTCATGTTTTTGAACTCGCCAGACCAAGAGACCGACTGACTGGCACCTAGGGGAAAGATAAAGCTCAGAGGCAGACCCCACCAAATAGGCTGACCCTCTCTTGAAGTTATACGCCAGAAACGCAGATCGCAGAACGCAGGCCAACTGTGGCGCAGAAGAGCCCGAAGCAGATCGGCTTGTAAGATGTGCGACCTGCGTTTCTGGCGTGCCCGGGACGAATAGAGGTCAAGAAGTAAGAAGTAAGTAAGATTGTAGTTAATATGTATCATGGCCAAAACTTTGGGGCGAATGTAATCTCCAGGGCAGCTGGTTTCAGAAACTACCATGATTATGCACACCCTTTCTAATCTTCAGAACTCTTCTTGTTGAAAAAGAGTTTAGATTCTACAGAAATGCGCACTTCTTCGAAAGTTGTGATTTTGGTCAGAAGTGATACTGTAAAAGTGGTAAGAGCATTTGAATCGTTCAAATTCTTAAAGGCAGCGATTACGATAAAGTGGGAGCGCATCGGGGAAGCATATGCACCACACGAATCAGTTACTTGGCTGCCAGGAAGCGAGGTGTGGCGCTTTCACGACGAAAGGTGCGCTGGTTGCTGAGCAGGACTTCGAAAGCACTCCGCCCCAAAAGCGATCCGCCCACTAGTTTAGTTGGTGATTTGGACGAGCTGCGTTGCCAGCAGCGGCACAACTGGAGCAACTCGATTGGAGCGTGGTTTGGCATGGTGTTACCAAACGCGTTGCGCTGAACTCGTTCATGCACCCGCTTTCTGAGCTGTCAGCTATTCGTCAAAGGAAACCAGAGGCCGTTACGTTTCTTTTTTTGACGGATTTCTCTGCCTTTTCTTCGCCACTGACGTACCGCTGACACCACCACGCCTACAAACCTTCTTGAACTTATCGTAATCACTGCCTTTAAAAAGCATATAAATTTTTGCGAATGTTCACTTCTTCAAAAAATCGCTCCGTTGGTCTGTTTTCCGTGCACGTAGGTTTTGACTTCGGAGAGCGGCACTGAGTGGTGCAATACTAGCGCATAATAACTGGCCGTGATTTTGTACTCTCGTGGAGCTCTGCAGACATTACAGTGGCAAAGGAGTGACTCAAACTGAAACCAAGGCAAATACTTACCCAAAGAGCTCCTTTTCCAATTCTGATAGCACTACATTATTGTCTTCTTCGCAAAAGGTCGCAGATAGCTCGACCACTTGGAGCTTGTTCTGAAATAAACAATTCTCAAAGTTAAGTTAAGTTAAGTTAGTTAGTTATTTTCGAGAAACCATGGTAGGGAGACACCCAATGGTAGGGAGACACCCATCTGTTGCCAACTGACCCTTGTCTCCTCGGGGATCCTGGATAAAATATCAGAGATATCGTAGCCAAAACCACGGGTCGAATCCGTCATTTTGTCAGCTTCATCGATGATAAGAAGTTGCAATTCCGATAGATTCAACTGGAAATCAAGCTTTATTGGTAGGGCGACTGTGGACCACAGCTAACAAAACAAACCCTTCCAAGCTCAAAAGCTTTAAGTACTCCGCCGCAAGTAGCAATAACGATTTCGTGCTCTATTGAACCAGCGAATCTCAACCGACTCATGCCAGAACCACCGGCAAAGAGATCCAATATCCGCACTTGAGTTCGTGACACTAAAAAAGCTTCTGTAGTAGTCTAAATAGGATGCAAGGACCGAGTATCAGTATTTTTGACGCTTCTGTCCTCTGCAAACGTTCCTCCACAAACGCTGTAATATGAGCAAAACACTGCCTTAGGCGGGACTGAAGAACAATTTCTGGTATTTGAGACATGTGTGCCCAAACATACATACTATGGCTATGTTTTCAACTTAATTCAGTTCTAAATAGTAACTCAACACCAAATTGGCCCCGTACGCTATTGCGCGCACAACAAAGTTCTTTTGCGATAAGGGGAACAGGGGAAAGGAGCATCTAAAAAACTTGAACCTAGCCCTGTCCACCGTTATCATTTACCTACCCTTTCATCGCAGACTAGACTTTTCTCAGTCTTCCAGCAGTCTAATGATCGAATTATGAGTTTTCCCAGCAAACCCTACCCCTCAGCCCCGCCACCCACTGGCATTTGCATTCACTCCTTTTCTCTCTCCTCACTCTTTCCCGGTCTTCAGTTGCCTCGACACACGATCATGAGGGTTTGTAACAAACCACGCCCATCCGGCGCACGCAACGGCCAACTTGGGCGAGATTTCGGCTGATGTGTGCTAATACTGTTGTGTGCCTATCCATTCCCAAACATGGACCGGCCCCGTTACAATGCACTTTTAGGTAACCAGTTTAGCTGCGGATACTGAGCGCGAAATACGGCTGCAGAGAATAGACTTACTCGTGGGATGATCTTTACCCGAGTCCCGCAGAGATGCGGCTCAGTTAGTGTCCCGGTCTTCTTCTCGAATTCTGCTGATTTTGATTGCAAGTGTAGATTTTGTTGCAGGGAGGAATTGCCAAGTTTTATTTGAACTCTAATGAGTAAGTATTGATGTATGTACGACAGTAGGTAATATTGTGTAAAATTCTCCATGATACACTGTAAGTGGATCGAGTGATTATTGGGAGTGAAACTACATTCGATGCGATTTCACGATAAAAATACATAGCACGCTCTCCTCATAAAGAGTTTAGATTGAGTCAAAACCTCCATTCACAAATGGCATGTACTAAAACTGAAGTACTTTGTCGCCAAAATCGCCCATTTTAGAGCGTGCCACGCCCACGCTAGACGGAGTTTCCCGTGATCCTCGTCTGTCCCGTACAGATCAGCTCGTGCTCTAAATACCACGACGAGCCAATCCAACAACTTCTCGCCTCAAGTCCGAACATTTACCACCCATGCTCTTGCAGCACACTACTTGTTTTCCTTACTTGTTCAAAAGAGTACCTTCATGTAATGGCACATTAATAGTTTTGAGAAAAAGTTCAACATTTCCGTTGATAGCATTGCTAGCAGAACAGGGCAGTTCTTGGCTCGCCGTTTGAAAACGAATGCAGAGTGTTGCAAAACCAATGCCTTCCATCGATGCTGGACAGGGCAAGTGAAATTTTTGCATCAGTACCGATATTGCCAATTTCCGAAGAGTCTCAAAACGAAGCCATAATGTTTTGTGGTCGAATCCGCCCACATCGGTACTAGCCCGCCCGAACACTTAATCTCGTTTCCTTTCTCAGCCTATGTCGACCTTTTTCTGCTATCTGAGACTACGGAACCTAATTATGAGGGATTGTGGGGGACATCGCCTATTTAAGAACACGCTCCGCCTACTGTGGGCGAGCACGCTCAGTTCAGGTATGCTGGAACGCGCTAACATTGCTTTACACCAACTCTTTTTTGCTCCGTAAGCTTTTTCATGGAGTGATTGCACCAAGCAGAGAAGATCGACCTCAAGCGACCTCAAGCGAAGGATAATGGACGCTGGTTTCCCGATCCTTTCTATATTCTATCTAATATATCTATTTATTCTATTTCTATATAAGCTGTACT